TTACTGCTTCACCCTTGTCTTAAACCTCATGAATCAACCTCTGCTAGCTTCAAACTTTTCTTCTGCAGCTTCCTCACTTCTGTCAGCCTTCATAGAATTGAAGACAGTTAGGGAGTTGCTCTGGATTAGGCTTTAGCTTAAGGGAATGTTGTGACTGGCTTGATCTTCTACCCAGACCACTAAAACTTTTTCCATATCAGCAATAGGGCTGTTTTGCTTTCTTATCATTCATGAATTCACTGCAGTGCACTTTTAATTTCCTTCAAGAACTTTTCCTTTGTGTTCACAACTTAGTTAACTATTTGGCTCAAGTGGCCTAGCTTTCAGCCTGTCTCTGCTTTCAACATGCCTTCATGACAAAGCTTTTGATTTCTATCTTTTGATTTAAAGTGAGAGACTTGTGACTCTTCCTTTCCACTTCAACACTTAGAGGACATTGTAGGGTTATTAGTTGGCCTAATTTCAATATTGTTGTGTCTTGGAATAAAGAGGCCCGAGGAGAAGAAGAGAGATGGGAGAACGGCTGGTTGGTGGAGCCGTCAGAACACATACATTATTGATTAAGCTTGCTGATTATATGGTCATGGTTTGTGGTGACCCAAAGTGATTACAATAACAACACCAAAGATCACTGATCACAGATCACCATGACATATAATAATAATGAAAAAAAGACTGAAATATTGTGAGAATTACCAAAACGTGACACAGAGACACAAACGGAGCACATGATGTTGGAAAAATGGCACCAACAGACGTGCTCTATGCAGAGTTGCCACAAACCTTCAATTTTTAAAAACACAATATATGTGAAGCACAACAAAATGAAGTGTGCCTGTACTAAACCACCACAACTTTCTTTAAAGCTCCTTTTCAGTCTTTACTCTTCTTGCTCTCAAAGATAATCTTAATTTATGTCACCTCAGAGTAATCTCCCCAAACTGATACATAAAAAGGAGTTAAAAAAATCTTTGTTGAACAAATTTTCTGGTTTGTTTTTATTTTTCAATCCATGTAACTGTATATTTTTCATATTCAATGTTAGAATGGACCTCCAGTTTTAGGAGATAAGGTTCACTTCTCCCGTTCAAGACCAGAATCTCCACTTGTGCCCAGGACTCCTTCTCCTCCCATCCCCTGTGAAATTCTGCACCATCAGTCATCCTTCCATGTCAGCGATCTCTTCTCTACTGGTTCCTGTCCATCATTCTGTGAATACGCTTGAGTCTTTGAAAAACTAACAACGTTTTTAAGATTCCACATCCCTTTTAGCTTTTATCTAATCTCTCTCCTCCCATTGCATCTAAATTTCTCCAAAGAGAGGTCTACAATTGTTATTACCAATTTCCTTCCTCCCATTCCATCTCACCCCATTGCAAATTGGCTTTTGTTCTTAACAATTCCACTGAAACTGTTCTCAGCTTTAATGCCATTGAGTTTTTGTCTTGTATTTCACAATTTTGACCATCCTTCTTTTTCAAAACAACTTACCACTTGGCTTCCATAATACATTTGGATCTTTCTATGCAATTACCATTTCCTTTTCATCTGTCTGTAGCTGAAACGCCAATGTTTCTCTAGGAATATCTCCTCAGAAGATTGCTCTACACATTCTCTCTGGTTTCAATTAGTATATACCGGTAATTCAAAATCTTCATCTCTAGCACAAAACTCTCCTGTGAGTTTAATATGTCTAAGTCCAACTCTGTGATGGAAAACACAATCCAACCCCAAACCAACATGTTAATCTAAAACCAAACTTATTTTTTTTCTTCAAACCTCCTTGGCTTTAATCTTATTACACTTCAGCGTAAAACCAGCCAATGCTTCTCACTGCACTTAAAATAAAACAAAACTTCATTCGCATGATCTCCCAAACTTCATGGGGGTAGCCCCTGTCAGACTCTTGGCCCTCACCTGGGGCCACCCTTTCATTACACCCATGCTGGTTTTCTCTCAGCCTCTGAACAGTCCAAGCTTTTACCTGCCTCTCGTTATTCCCATTGCATCAAAATCCTTTTACCCATCCTGGTGTTTGTTAAAATTCCTGTCTCTCTCCCTGGATTCTAACTCCATATGGGAAAGTGTCATGCCCCTTTCATTTTCCAATCTAAACCCAACTCTTAGGACAGAGCTTAGTATTTAGTAAATATTCAATAAATATATTTTACATGATTGAATTATTTCACTTTAATTAGAAATCTGGGAATAACCTTGATTTCTTTTTTACCTTGACTCTTCCATTCCCTCCACCCTCTGTCTCATTAATACCAGATCTTGCAAATTTCACTTTAATTTCTTAACAATTTGTTCTTTCTTCTCTGTGCTTGTTACCACTGCCCTGGTCCTAGTTCTCCTCATCTCTTGCTTGAACTACTCTGACAGCCCCTCAACTGGTCATCTTAAACTCTGCTTTACCCCCTCATATCCATATTCTCCATTGCCACCAGGGGGACCTAAAACGTGAGTCTGACTCCACCATTTCCCCTATGGAAAATGCTTTAATGACTTTTCATTGCATACAACATAAAGTATCAATACTTTACCTTAGCTCACAAGGCCCCTGATAATCTGTTCCCTGCTTACTTCACCAGGTGAATTTCTCAACACTTGGCCTTGCTCTCTAAGCTCCAGAAACAGCAAACTGCTCTTATTTCCCATCCCATGTTGTATATGCTGCTTCGTATCTCTATTCTTTGCATTTATGTTGTAGCTTTCCTGGTAGTGAAGAAATATCCACCGCATCATTGGCCCAACTACCCCTTGCTCTCTCTCCCCTTGAACCTAGCTAATTCATAGTCCAACATACTTGGATCAAATATCATCTTTTCCAGGGGGCCATCTCTGACTCTCCAGGATGGGTTACGTGCTGCTCTTTGGAACTCACAAATTGTACAACTTGCATCTCCATTATTTTATTTTACTCAGTTGTATTCAATGTTCTGCTTTCCCACTTGGTGGTGAGCTCCTAGGAGCACACAGTAAATACTTCACAAACATCTACCAAATTAATTATAAGCATGAAAGTATAAAATTCAAAGTACATTAGTGCAATTGCTTGTGACAGTAAAAGCAGCCAAACTACAGAAATTACAAGGAGCCAGAACTATCTCAAATGCATTAACTAATTGTTTGGTTCACCGCATTTCACCCAATTTCATACAGTTGCTGCTCCCTAAGTCCAGCCTTCTATGTCAGGTCTTCCTTGCTCAGCGAGCTAGAGTTCTGATAACAATCTTTAAATATGAAGAATTCGGCACACTCATTTCTCACTGTATAAGTGCCCACTAGGTGAGTTTTCATTTAACAAGCTCCGCAAGTGAACATTTTCATTTATGTCAGAGCTTGCTTTAAGTCTTCTCTGAGGTCAATTAAGTTTTCCCATAATGTTTTTCAACCTTAGCTTCAATATGCTGTTCATTTTCCCTTGATATGCATACATATCCTATGTTATTTAATCAAAAACATAATGCTTTAATTTAGAAACACTAATATTTTTGAAAAATAGCTCTTTAAAACTTTTTGATTATAACCAATAGTGTATACTAATTTGCACAATCTCTAAGCTATGAACAAACTGTTGATCCTTCAGTTATGATCAAATTTTAGGAATTTTTACATTTTCTTTAAATGACAGTTATGATAATTTAAATTATGTAATTATTATTATAGATCATTCAGTATGAATTTATGATTAGATGCTGTTTCTGTAGCTGTATAGGTACATGCGTAGTTATGTGTGGATATACATGTATTTATGTGTATGTGCATATATACATAAACAATTACAGATGTGTGCATACACAGATTAGTATGCATATATATTTTACTTAGCTCTGTCAACTGAGAGAGCATAGAACCAATGACAGACATCCCAATAGCAATGAGGACACCCAGCAAACAAATCATGGCTTTTAAACACCATTTTTCAAGAAAAGGAAACAGGGTTTCCTTAGAGAAACTTCTGATTCTAGTATTAGGGCAGGAAAAATAACAATTTACGTTACTGTGGAAAAATACAAATGAGTCAATTAGAAATAAAATACCCATAATGAAGCAGTCTTGTTTCCTTAGTGTTTACTCTTTCTTTTTATGTATGTGATGTGTGACATATAAATATATATATACGTTTTACACAGAAATAGTATAATTTTTACATAAGTTTTTACTTCTTTTAGTGACTGAATATATAGCATGAGAATGTACAATTTGTTGGATCATTAATTACAAACAATGCTGGATGAACATCTTTATAAATGAATTTTGATGCACTTCCTTAATTACTATAAGAATCTTCTTCTGCAAAATGTTGTTCAGCTATTTATGAGTCCTCGTCCCTTTGCCCTCAACCTACATTCAGTTTGTTAAACTCTAATTAGAAGAAGTACCGTTTTTTGGCATTTGGTTAAGGTTTAGTGTTAAAACTTTCATTAGGTGTTAAATAATTACCAGTCCATATGTGGAAAGAAATTCATCTCTTCTCTGCCCAAATAACAACATTCTTACTAGAGTTCAAAGGATATTAGATATCATAAAGGCCAGTCTCTTTTCTCAGTTCATAGATTAGAAAACTGAGGCCCAAAATGGTTAAGTTACCTTTTCCAGATCAAATAAATAATTATCATCAACTTTAAAGTCAAAACTCTAGGTTTCCTAATTCCAAGTGCAGTACTTTTTCCATATTCAAAAAGGCTGACAAGGGATAGGTGCAAGGTTCTCACCTGAACTGCCTTCGATGATTTGTGTTAATTTAATACATATTTAGATGACAGATCTCTAGATATACATTCACTAGACTCATATTAATTGCCATCTATGTAGCTGGTAGGATTATTTTTAACACCATAATAAGAAGCAAATCAGCTAATTAGAACAGAATAAGAATTACTGTACTAAATAGCAAAAAAAACTGCTAGCTGCTTTCAAAAGAAAAATCAATCCTTTCCTAAATGATAAAGTCTTTATTTGCTGTGTTTATAATCTCAGACTAACAACCTTACCCATGTGGAAGATCAGTAATCAAATTAAAGGCAATGATGAAAATCCTAAGGAACTTAATTTGTTGAATTTCAAAGGGAATTACTTTGATAGGATTATTTCTCAGTTTCAGTATCTGTAAATTTTTGAGACACAATATCTGGAAAACAGAAAAGAGAAACAAACATAAGTGGAATAATGAAGTATGCAAATCCCTATTTGTTACTTTTTGAAAACTCTTTGAACTGATGTAGTAGAATTGGTATAACAATGTTAATTGGCTATATCACATATCTCAATAAATACTCTCAGTAAACCTTCAAAATAAGTGACCAGCATTAATTTGTATGATATGGTGACACAGTGCAACTACTGCACTCATATGCCCTTGGCATAAGAATATGGGATATTCTAAATGGGAAATAATATTTTCTAAATGGGCAAGTCATCCTTTTTGATGAAATTCATAGTTTCATAGAAGGCAACCATGTAGAGATGAGGGAGGAAGGGGGTATCTGCAGAACCAGAAAGATTAGTTCATAGTGTTGCTGAAGTCTTTTACTTCCCTGCTAATCTTCCGCCTACTTACTTGTTCCACGCTTTATTGAAAGTGGGGTATTTTGAAGTGTCCAGCTATTATTGTTGAATTTTCTATTTTTTCGTCTAATTCTTTCAGTTTTTGCCTCATGTACTTTGGGCCTTTGTTGTTAAGTACATGTATGTTTATAATGTTATATTATCCTGATAGATTGACAAAATGTTCCTCTTTATTTCTGGTAACATGTTTTGTTTTAAAATCTATTTTGCTTGATACTAGTATAGTCACTCTAGCTTTCTTGTGGTTGCAGTTTACATGATATATCTTTTCTCATGCTTTTACTTTTAACCTCTTTGTATCTTTCAATCTTAAATGTGTCACCTGTAGACAGTACTCATACATCATTGGACTTTGATTTTTAATCCATTCTAACAATCTGTACCTTTTGACTGGATTGTTTGATGTATTAACAGTTAATGCTACTATTGACATGACTGGGTTTCCATCTGCCATTTTACTTTTATTTTTCTCTATGTCTTGTCCATTTTTTCCTCCTTTACTGCTTTCTTTTGCATCAAATGAATATTTTCTAATGTGACATTTTAATTACTTCAGTGATTGTTTCAGTATATTCTCTGGAGTTATTTTTTTAGTGGTTGCTTTAGAGGTTATAATATATACCTTAACTTATTAGAATCTACTCCAGATTTACACTAACTTAATTCCAGGGAGATATAAAAATGTTTTTCCTATATATTCTATTCCGTTTTCCTTTTCTTGTGTTATAATTTTTGTACATATTATGTCCATATGTTATGGACCTAACAATACCTTATTATAATTATTACTGTTTATGATTTTAAGTCTGTTAAAGGAGCTGAGAGAAGAATGGAGACCAAGCATATGTTTACAGGGTTCGTTATAGCAACCTTCTCATTTAACATTTCTGCTTCTACCTTCTCCTGTCCTAAACTATTTTAGCAGACCCTGTGCTCTGCCTGATCTCACCATCCTGAATTTTCTATGAAACCTGTAATAACTTCAATTACCTCACTCACCCCAGTCCCCAGTCTTCTATTAATTGCCTTTACTCCATGTTAATAACTGGGCATCAGTAGCCTCCCCCTAGTACAGCCGGTCCAAGCCTGGATATTCCATCCTCACTGGAATATTTTATCTATAGTGATACAACACAGATTTGCATCTTAATGCAAGTTCTATTGTTTTCTGTCACTTTAAAAATGAGCATTTTAAACCTTACATATGAATAGCTCCCTTGTATTTGTACATTACTTTTTAGCAGATGGAGTATTCTTTGGCAGATACACAAGCCTTATCTGGGTCTACTTATAAGAAAGTTTAAATTAACATGAAGAACTAAGATTCCTATATTCCTTGGGAATTCTTGTCAATTTGTCCTAGTCAAATTAATAAAACTGGTCTTATGTATTAGAAAAGAAAAAATGTCTTCTTAGTGTGAATAAAAATGCAGTATTATAAGGAAAGTATAGAAAATATGTTTTCAATACTATATATTTGAAATAGGAAGAATTGCTAAAAATCAATTCACTAAATGCCACTACTCTGGAAGTCAATTCACAAAACAACCAATCACACAGTGACCAATGAAACAATGACTAAAGACACTGAAAACACAATCTGCTCTACTCATAATAGCTCATTTATTTAAAGTGACATTAAATTAACTCACCCCATATCTGATTATCCTTGATACATTTTATTAAGCAGAATATCCTATTTCAGTCTATGGTAATTAAAACTTGTTATGTTACCTGGTCACTAACTTAGTTTTTAAAGCTTCTGACTAGCACATGTATAAGGTTTCTTTTAGGTTTCATTCAAACTTAGAAGAATAAGTAAATTATTTAATATACATTGTATAATTATGAGAACATATTTGAAAGCCTGATTAAAACATAGTCTTTGAGGACTTTGACATGGGACTTCCTAAAAAAGATGTACTGTACTTTTTGTACTTTTGAAAATAAGCATCAGTTTTTTGGATGCAATCCAAAATATACTTACTTTATAGTAACTGCAGGGTATTATTTTATTTATTATGATTATTATCCACAATTACAAATTATAGCAATATGTACAGTAATAAAAATGGACTCACTTCCATGGGAAAGTCACGAAGATCATTAAATGATAAATCAAGATATATTAATTGAAAAGCCAAAGGTGTTAAGTCTGGACATTTCAGAAGAAAAAAGCCCTAAAAGAATGTGACAGGAGATAAAATGTTAATTTTTAGCAATGCACAAAATATTTTACACAATAGTAAAAAAAAATGAGCATGTTATCTGAATGACAATATTTGACACAATATGCTAACAAGTCTACACTCGCTTTCCAAAATTTCTTGTTAAATACACCAATCTCTGACTGAGGAAAACTTATGCCTTGCTATGGACTGAATGTTTATGTCCTCCCCCAAATTCCTATATTGAAGCTGTATGATGGTATTAGGAAATGAGGCCTTTGGGAGGTAATTAGGTTTAGATGAGGTCATGAGGGACCCCTATGGTAGGATTAGTGCCCCCATGAAAAGAGGAGGGGCCAGAGCACTTTGTCTCTGCTGTGTGAGGATATAGCAAGAAGGCAGCCATCTGCAAGAAAGCTCTCACTAGGAACCAAGTCAGATAAATTATCTTGGACTTCCCAGGCTCCAGAACTGTGAGAAATAACTGTTATTTAAGCTACCCATCCACAGCATTTTGTTATAGCAGCCCAAACTGACTAAGATATGTCTGGTGCCCTCCTTTCATGCTCCAGGAAAGTTGGAATATTTGTTTCTTAGCGATCAGAGAATCAGTAGTGATCAACTGAATGATTCAAGGAACTCTAATGCTAGAGGATCAAACCTCAGCTTGTAGCAACGGGAGGCACTGCTGCCAGTGCATGATGCTGTGGCATGTACTATATAAAAATATACAGGTTCACGGCCAAAGAGCCTCAGAATTGGCAGCATTGGGTTCAAGACTGACGTACTATTAAAGTATTAATATTTGCCAATGTCTATACATTGGTAGTAGACAAAAGCAGGTGTCCTTTTTTCCTGTCATTAAACATTTTTTCTTCTCTAAAGAACTAGTGGCACACTAAATTATGTGGCAGAAATTATGTCTGTTACTGTCCCTAATCACTCCATTTAGTGTGTTCAGATAACTAGTGGCTTTACATTTCCTTCTGCCTGGAAAGTTCTTTCCTCAACTATTCCCATGAATTACTTCATTCTCACTTCATTTACTGCCTATCATCAGTTGCCTGCTCATAAGTCAGCTGACCAGAGAGGCCTATGACCGACACATCATAAATAGCAACCTCCCAAACCAGTGCCTGATCTACGGCTCCCTGTCGCATTCACTTGCTTTATTCTTCATAGCTCTTATCACTACAGAATGCACTGCACATAAATGCATGTATGTACATATGATCTCACCCCACTGAAGTATAAGCTCCATGAAATAGGCATTTTGTCTGTTTTGCTCACTGATGCATAGTGAGATGTACAGTTTAACACTGGTACATAGTGGGTTCTTAATATATATGGGTTAAATAAGTGAATATCTAGGACTTTCTGATTGCTTCATGGAATCCCAGGAACCTTCACTGTGGATAGACCCCCATGAGGCCTTCCCACCACAAGTAATTTGGATCTCTCTTTTCCCATCCCATCATAAGACCTGTTTAATGTGGTTTTCATGGAAGGGATGTAAAGAACTAAATAGCACAAAAAATGTGGAGGCTTTCTTAGTCCCTTGAATTGTACTAGCAACCTTTAAGCACTTATGCACCGAGTCTGTAATATATTAATCAGTACATTTGTTTTGTGTAAATTCAAATAATATCTGTTCATATAATGTCTGTTCCTTCAGTAGCCCCTGAGATAGATCAGGATTTGTGATTTTTAATTCTTTCATATCACCCACACAGAGTTCAGGATTCTATTCTGGAGTCAAATATTTTAAAAAATAATATTAATGACTGAGAAAATAGCTTTTTTCTTGTCTATTTTCACCAAACTCTCTAAAAGCTGTATTCCTCCTCCATTTAAAGCAGGGAACAGCAAACTACTGTCTGCCACTTGTTTTTCTAAATGAGGTTTTATTGGAACACTACATGACAGAGTTGAGTAGTTGTGACAGAGACTATGTGGCCTTAAAGCCTAAAATTTTTACTATCTTGCCCTTTACAGAAAAAGCTTGCCAACCTCTGATTTAAAGTAATTCACTTCAAAGCCAGATAATCTGATTTTTTTCTCTTCTACTAATGGTCAACAAGCTTGTTTTAAACTAATCCTCCCCCTAAAAACAAAAAGGAAAACAGACAGACAACAACAACAAAGACTTGGGGACTCACCAAGGTTTCAATAACTTAATGGGCGAAAATGCTAGAGAGAAAGGAATCCAAGAGTAGTAAACACAATCCTTGACACTATTTTTCTCCTAAAGCCTAATCCAAAGCTGTGGTTGAGAAGCTGAGTAGAACTATAGCCAGGCTCACAGGGCTGGGGAAACAAAAATTGGAATTCAGGGTTTACTGAGGAGGAGGATGCTCAGACTATCTATGAGATGGCTGAAGACCATGTCTCTAGGGGAAAAGATTAACAGGAAAGCTCTTATCAAGTTTGAAGCCCAGCATTAAACCAGTTTATTCTCTGATGAGATTAAGGTGAATCTTCCTTAGTTTCTCTACCTGCCAGAGAAAAAAATAAAAATTCTCTGGAAGAAGATAATATCATCCAGAGCATCAAATTATCTCTACACAACATCTATTATGCAATCAAAAGTAAAAAAGGCATGGAAAAAGACAATAATTGGATAAAAATCAAGAGAAATGATAGACCATAGAAACAGACCCATAGAATCCACATAGTAGATGTATCACACATGTTTAAGAAAAATAACTGTGATTAATATGTTTAAGAAATTAAATGACAAGATAAAGAATTTAAAGTAAAAATGTAAACAATAAAAATATGTTTCTTAAAAATTTAGATTATAAAATAAAATAACCAAAATTAAGGACTTGGCAAAAATTTTAACAGCAGGTTTCACAAAGATGAAGGGGGAGTTATTGAACTAGAATTTAGATAAGAAAAAAATACTTACAATAAAGCCCAGAGAGTAAAAGGGATGGAAAATACAGGAAAAAGATTACTTTAAATAAGAGGTTGGCAAGCTTTTTCTGTAAAGGGAAAGATGGGCAGGATGCAAAAGTCTAAGATACATGAAACTCAATTCCAATAAGAAGAGGACATGAAGAATGAGGCAGAAGAAATGCTTAAAGATATACTAACAAAACTTTCCAGGATTGATGAATGATATAAAGCCATTGATTCAAGAAGTACTATGAACCATAGGAAGACAAGTATTTTTAAAACCATACCTAGGTACATCATAATACAACTACTTAAATTCAAAGTCAGAGACCATTTTAAAGTCAGCCCAAACTAAATCCATCTGTGTGGGCAGAGCAGGATGAGCCTGACATAATCTATCATAGCCTGAGTTGGGTCAAGAAGACATCCACACATGAGGACATTCCAGTGTAGGATGACAGAGCCCAGGTGGAGTAAGAAGGGTATCAAAACAGGGGAGTGTCAAGGACCCCAAGCAAGGAAAGGAGGGAGTACAAATGGGTGAGGTGATAACAGCAAAAGAAGCAAGGTTGGTTACATAAGTGTATTGACTGAATAAGTAAATACATTAAGGATAATGGAAGCCAGATTGAGAACACTGTTGGAGAAGAGAGTTACAAATAAAACAATGGAGAAAATTAGAATAACCCCTGTAGTGTTATATAGCATTAGATTAGAATTCAATGTATTGGTATGAATTCACAGTGTGTGGGGGGGGGGCATATGTGCACACACATATATTTCCTAGCTTTGTCCATTGAAAGAGTCTGGAATACCCCAATAGTAATGAACACACCTAGTGCCGGGTTCCTAGCTTCCCTACTAAAAACAACCAGAGGTTTTGGAGAAATGACAGATTCCGGGTCTGGGGCAGGGAGAGTACAAGATAAGCCTGGAATAACAATGGGGATGTGTCGAAAAACCACACAGAAACCAACTTTAAGAGGCTTCTACTTACGAAATATGAAACAATTTGAGGATAAAATAAACAGTGGTATAACAGATTGTACTCACCAAATAAAATAGTAATATAAATTAATAAATAAACAAATTGAAAGTTTGATGAGAAGTAGGATTCTTGCATAGTTTCAAAGTACCACAATATACTTATTAAATACAAAAGAAAAAAGATTAACAGTGGAGAAGACTGGCAGATTGAACAGGTAATCAAAGTGGACATCATTAGTAATGGGAAAAATAGAAATCATGCATTATTTGATAAGGCAGAATGAAAAAAATACTACATTGCTTTCAAGATACTAATGCCAAAGGTGGATTACCTATATCTAATCATTAGAAAACATAAGACAAGCCCAGAGTAATGGACATTTAACAAAATAACTGACCTATAATCCTCAAAAGTTTCAAAGCCATGAAAGTCAAAGAAAGCTAGGCACATACCAGCTTTAAAAAGACTAAACCAACTACATACACTATATGACCCTGGCTTGGATCCTTTTCTTATGAAGAATATTAATGGGTAAATTGGCAAAATTTGAATGGTGTCTCTTGGATAGAGTAATGAACCAATATTAATTTCCTGATTTTGAGGGCTGCTCTGTGGTTATGTAGAAGAGTGTCCTTACTTGCAGGGAAATGCACTAAAGAATTCAGGGTTAAGGAAACATAAAGTCTGCAGGTTTTTTTTTTTTAATTAAACTTTTCTTGCAACTCCTCTGCAACTTTGAAATTATTTCAGAATTAAAATATTAAAAAACATACATAACAAACCTTCAGGGATGCAGTTAAAGTCATAATTACTGGACAATTTATAGCCTAAATATAGCATAAATAAGAAAGAAGAGAGGCTGAAAATCAGAGATGTCCATTTCATATCAATAAGTTAGGAAAAAAACAGCAAATTAATCTCCCCAGAAGTAGAAAGACATAAATAATAAAGATAAGACCTAGAATGTAAAGAAGCAGCAAAAATTTGGTAAGACAAAAAGAATATTGTTAGGGTTTCTAATTTTAGGTATTAAAGGGTATGCTTTGGTATTTCAGTGTGGTTTTAATTTGTCATCCTTGATAAACAATGATGCTGAGAATATTTTCATGTTCTTATTGGCTAT